CATTTCAGCTACGAAACATAGTTGAATAAAGTTGATATTTCTATCTCCTGCTTGTAGAGTTTAAGTCACTTTGACCGACTTCATAAAGTTTTACTTATGGTCGCATTAATTTTTTTTAATTCAGTTTTCTCCTGATAGTATCGTGTTACGCCCACTAATTTCGATTATTTCATTTCAATTATACCGAAAAAAAAGTTTTTCAACCTTCTGAGAGGATGGATCATGTGCAGCTTTAGGAATGCTTACTAAAGTCTGACATAGGAAAAAAGACTCAAGTAATTGTTGAAAATAATCAGGGATTACAATGTATTTATTAACCCTCAAATTTAAGAAAAACAAAAGTTAATCTCACCCTCCCCGTGTTCTGGCAGTTACCTCGTTCTGATATTCTACTTTGCTTTGATTAGCTGTTGCAATTAATTAGGCTGCGACAGGGAGCTGGTTTACAACAATTGATCGGAAAGTGCTCGATATTTTTAAAGCCCCAATCTCTAATACGGATTATCCGTCGGAACGTTGGTGATGTAGCATTTATACTGAGGCACATTATCTATTTACGGGGGAACGCTCTATGGTACTGATTGATTGGCCACAAATAACTGTTTGGTAAGTTAGGACATGCTAATAAGCGGAATGGATTATGCCAACTTCTTGAATCAGGATAAAACGAATTACGGTGAGATTTGAGCTCACCACTAGTCTCCAATCAGGGAGAGATTATAGATTCATATTTCGACATCCTGTTCAAATTATACATTTGAAATCATTTCTATCTTTCTGAAAGCAGAAGGGAGGAAGGAATCAAGCTATCAGATGGTATTCTATTCCTTGCATTGCATGGCGTGTTGTTTGTCCTCCTATTTAAGCGAATCAAAAATCATTTGATGCGCACTTCTTTTCAGCAACCTCCCATGCCACACACTCTTAGACACTTCTAAGGTTTCCCTGTTTCCACGAAGGTCGCATCCAAGTGTTGTATCATGCAACGTTCTTTTCGCGAATTCGTCATAAACTTTCTTTGCAAAATGTTTGCAATTATTTACATTCCAAAAGTATGTCTTGTTTAGTTCGTCTTCTTCGTGGAGAAACTCAATAAGATCCTTCATGGTTTTGTGTCCGACATCAGAGCTGACTCGAAGTAATGGAGTTTTCCTCTTGTTGTTGTTTACATAATCTAGAACTCCACCATATCCCTTCGACTGTTTGCTTCTCTGAAGAAGAATTACTTCAGAGTTCTTCTCAATGGACCACCACCAGTTCTTTGTTTCAATCACGACGAACTGGTGATTTAAAAATAGCTGACTACGTTGCCAATCAGAAAGCGGAGACTTGAATACCCAAATGTTTAATATATTCTCAGTATAATCGTTCAGTAGATCCATGGTCTGAACCAACACGTCATGCTCAATTAAGTAAATGTGACCACGCCCTTTGTTGTCCGACAGCCAATTTTCCGCACTCTTCGAGCACAACCAGTCTCTTGTTACGACATATTCCAGCGCAGATGACGGCTTTTCAGATTTAGAATAAAACCTCACTAGATTTCTCCATGCCCCTCCCGTGGTTCGAGACATTTCTAATTGAAGCCTGAAATGTAATGATCTGGAATTTAGAACAATCACCTTCAACTCCAAGGGAGGTGTGCACAAACCGCTCTAAATAATATGTTGATGTGTATTCAAGTGAATCGAAATTTCAACCGGCAAATTTCAGCATATTGCTCTCTAAAGCGTAAATTACTAGTTGTCAACAGCTAACTTTGTACAATTCAAATGGCAAGCTTTCGGAATCGAAAACGTACTCAAGAAGGCCTCGATTCCTATTTTCTCTCCGATCTAGAGAAACGAAGAAAAATATAATGATTGCAAATATTTAATGGTAATAAGACAGAGTGGAGTCCAGTTCGGTTTGTAATCATGCCGACAAAATATTCCTTCCCTCCAAAGGGGGGTTTCGTAGCTTCGTTGGTATTAGCGCCCAACTAGAATCTAGAAGGCATGGGTCCGAGTCCCGTAGAAGCCTGAATATTTTCAAGCTTCCCTTCTGCAATTGCTAAAATTGCGATGTAACTGCGAGGATCGTTTTTTTGTTTTTTTGGTTACTTACTTACCTTATTTAATATCTGTAAGTTGACGCTTCAGTACAGATCTCGCCTAGATACTGATGGGTGCTTTACTGTCTTCACTGGTTATCGAATGGCAGGCACCCTTAGATCTTCAGAGGATGACAACTGACAAATAAAATCTTTTTCGTCAGTATATTTACTTTAAGGGTCCGGAAATGACTTAACAAATAAAAAATGTTGACGATCTCAGTCAAAACACGGGTTTGCTTTGGGAGAGCACCGCTCCCGGTCATTTCATTTTAATGTTTTTCATTTCACGCTCTAGATTAAAGGTTTAGAAACAAGACGGAAACTGAAGACAAATTCATTCGGGTTATTTATTTTGCAGAATCATTTTGTAGTATTTTCCAGACACAGTGGGAGATATTTCCTTTCTTACTAACCGGAAGGAAAGAACTTCAACGGGAAAAGAAAAGTATTTCCGGTTACGAGGGGGCGTGATCACTTCGTATCTAGCTTGTGTACAGCCCCCCCCCCCTCCCCCGCACCTTTCCGACTATCTTTTGCAGGGTGGGGGGCGGCTGTACTTAGTCTATTCGTGGACGGACAAAATAATGGTACTGGAAATAAAATAAATTTAGCAAATGATTCATTCAAGTGTCAGGGGAAAAAATATTCAGCGGATAACACCATTGCATGATTACACTGTCTAAGGATCTAAAATATTTGATTACGAGATCGTTGAATTACTACGACATGATTAAAGTTTTTCCTCATACATGCCATATGCTACATTCACAAAAAAGCCGGAAAAAGAAGATAAGTGCACGTGTTCGGATGTTTTGTTTTTAAGTTAATGTAAAGCCGTGTTATTATGATGGCTTTAATGGCCTGACTACATCTAACGATAATAGGCTCCTTACATCTGGTCGGATGCGTACCAGAGTGTAATGATCGCGATCGTTTTAGGCGAGAGTTATCCGTAGGAATGATAAATGCTGAACTGGCTAAGCTATGATTTGGTTACGACGTGGTCTTACAACTAATCCATGTTTGAGTAGATATTCTTAATCTTGGGCTCCCTAACCCAGTGGCGGATTTTTTGGGAGGCCCTAAAGGGCCCCGCAAGTGTACACACACAAAAAAGAAAAGCCGGCAAGTGTACACACACAAAAACCGCTTCCCCTCTTCCCTTAACTCCAGGTCTGGATCCGCCACTAGAGCCTTCATCAAAGGTCGAATTAAATTTAGGACTTGCTCAAGAAGAAGAAGGATGATAAAAAGGAATTATAAGACTAATTTGTGATCGAAATTAAAGGATTCCTTTACCTTAACTGTTTAATCCGCTGAAATTTCAATAAATCTTTCAGCATAATAACTTGATATCTGCATCACAGCATGGGGATGACTTTAAAACCAATGCTAAATGACTTTTATACTTTCATCCGTAATCGATTATGCAGCACAAGTTTTTCATTACTCTCTCACTGAATACCTCCACCAAGAACTAGAACGTATTCAGGAAAGGTTCATGAGAATCATTTGTCCTGGTATGCAATACGAACAGGCCTTAGCTATTATGAATCTTTCAGCTGTGAAAGACCACCATAAAAATATGTGTACAGCAACATTTCGCAACATAATGAACGATCCTCAGCACAAATTAAGCAAACTGTTATCACCCCGCTATGTAAGCCCTCATAGGTTAAGGCACGAGCGTACCTTTGCTTTGCCACTTTGCAAGACAAATAGACTTAAAAACAGTTTTTTTATTGCTTCGGCCAGAATAGTCAACAGCCACATATAATGTACAAGTTTCCCCTTACGACGAACTACGTATTTTTTAATAATAATAAGATGAATACATGTACATAGTGATTTTTATTTTATATCTGTGAATACGCAATTCAGTTCATGCTGCGAAGTATTTACCAATAAAGTATCTATCTATCCATCTATCTGTCTATATATCTATCCAAATCACACAAATTCTTCAGCAGAAAATTTTCTCATTGAAAACTTCGGAAAGATCATGTTTCATTTCGACCTCCTACACTAATTTTTAAGGAGAAAAACTGTGTGATTCGCAATTTACGTGAAATAATCTTAATTCTCTGGAAAAAGGAATGAAATCTGAATTTTCTTCGCTTCCTTAAGGATCCTTAAGGCCTCGGCAGGTAAAACCGTCACGCAATGAGGATAAGTTATGTTTCCCTACACAACATACTCTATAATTTTGACGCCGGGGAAAGTTCTGCTGACAAAATTCTTATGAGGTGCGGGGGCGCCGTATTCCTGGCCTCGCTCTGAAGAATGTTTGATGGCGGCTGCCATCTTCCGTCTCCAAATTTAGCCTGAGAAGACCGAACATCCACTGTCGCGTTGGGATTGGTATGGGCAGCTAGTTTCTTGCATCCCTAAAACGATATAAGTCGGTTTAAACAGTTTTGGTTATTCGTCAAGTGAATATTTCACGTGCATCGGACCTGAGCCAAGGTGCTTGTGAAGTGGGCTGTGTCAGGTTTTTGAAGACATTGATATTGTGGAACGCTATACTACTCAACCAAGATGCCTGCGGTAAAAGGAGAGGGAATGAGGGGTTTAGCCGTTTTCATTTCTGATATTAGGAACTGTAAGTGAAATTAAAAATTTTCATCTTTCTAAGGTTCTCGGATTTATTTTTAATTTCTTACTTTGTTTGTTGCATTTGACACGTGTGTCTTGATCGGTCGAAAATCAACTAATGTGATCGTTCTCGGCGTTTCACTTCATCGCGGCATTTTGTCACACGCGGGAATCAAACATCTCTTTTTGTTTCAGGTAAATCTAAAGAGGCTGAGATGAAACGGATAAACAAGGAGCTTGCAAATATTAGGAATAAATTCAAAGGTAAGTTTGCGTATTTACTATACCGCATATTCAAATCCAAATAGGCAAGTTTTGGTTAATACCGCATAGAAGCTAATCTTAAATTATTAGAAGATGGTACGTGCTCAGTTTCCATTTCATACTTTTTTTCGTCTTCTTTAGGGGATAAGCAGTTAGATGGTTACCAAAAGAAGAAATACGTTTGTAAGCTTCTGTTTATATTTCTTCTTGGCCACGATATCGACTTTGGTCACATGGAAGCCGTAAATCTACTATCGTCTAACAAATATACGGAAAAACAAATCGTAAGTATTCCCGAGCTATCTGAAAGCGCCCCTTGAAATTATTTTGATTTACGTCGGTTCAAAAATGCTTGCTTTAGAAGTTGCCATGCCCGACCAACTTTAACATTTAACGCGCATTTCAAACTGTTAAAGTATTTAGGGAGGATATTTTCGCGAGATTATACACCAAATTTTGATTCCATTATGGTTTTATCAAACCGCGATCTATTAATATTGATGGAGAAACGAAAGTTCCCATTTTTAAGAAGTAAAACTACATCGAAACTTTTGAATTTGGTTGGGTACTGCTCGTATTTAAAGCTCCTGCACGACTGTAAAGGTGAAAATTTAATTAACAGTGACATGGCTAATGTTACGCGCGACCTACCTATTTCATTTAATTTTTACAGTTATCCTTGGATACTTAAATTTGTTTAACACCAATCAGATTTTGCTCCCTCCGAGAATCGTATCACAGCGTTACTTTTTGAGCATTTGTGTACAAAGTTAAATTTATTGATTCCTTATCTATAGGAAATTACTTTGATTTTACCGGGTACACAAGTTTTTAAAAGTACATGTATGTACGTGTTCCATGCACTTGCACTTTCTTCGTAAATTAAATGCAACAGACCCCAGAAAATAAAATTAATTGTCTTTCTCTAAGATCTTTCATCTATTGTTACAGAGAGTCAATAATTGTGAACAGGTTTATGGTAAATCAAGAATTCAAAAGAGTTTGAATACTTTCCAACTTGAAACTTGAGAGCATGAGTCTGGAATTTCCCAAACAGCATATTAGTATTCCATGTCATGTGTTGCCATGCTGGATTTCCTATCCCTGTTCCTTACTTATTCAATTTTTTATTTTGCTTTATTTCTAATGAGTAAGGCTAGGGTAATTTGCATTCACTGAATTTTCTGTATCTTATTTCTGGAATTTTACAACAACAAAAATCTTGAGTCCATTTAGAAGTGGTGCTTATAAAACGTAGCAGTAAGAAAACCCACAATTCTTAGCATTAGGGTCCATCTGAACTAGGATGACAACTGTTTTTGTTTCACCAAGAAATTGTGCCAGTTATTTCCTCAAATGTGACCGCTCAAAATACCAATCTTGTGAGAAATTTATTTTATTCTTTTCAACATAGTTTTTATCATTCTAGTGTAAAAGCAGTGTTGTCAGTATTAGAGAAGTAGCATTTATAGCAAGAAAGGGAAATTTCACAAACTAGACATCAGAGATGTCAATTGTACAATTGATATTATAAAACAACAAATCTATATGAAATACATATATATGAACTGCGGTTATGAAACGTATATGTGCACGATCCTTCGCAGTAAAGCACTATTTAAGCAATAGTGAAAATCAGACCTGAAAAAAATTCAGGCCTGTACGGGATTCGAACCACTGACCTCTGCGATACTAGTGCAGCGCTCTACCAATTGAGCTAACAAGCCAACTGGGAGCAGGCCATCAAATTAATTCGACATAAACCCGTAGATGATAAATCAAACAACAAACATATGAAATACATATATATGAACTGCGGTTATGAAACGTATATGTGCACGATCCTTCGCAGTAAAGCACTATTTAAGCAATAGTGAAAATCAGACCTGAAAAAAATTCAGGCCTGTACGGGATTCGAACCACTGACCTCTGCGATACTAGTGCAGCGCTCTACCAATTGAGCTAACAAGCCAACTGGGAGCAGGCCATCAAATTAATTCGACATAAACCCGTAGATGATAAATCAAACAACAAACATATGAAATACATATATATGAACTGCGGTTATGAAACGTATATGTGCACGATCCTTCGCAGTAAAGCACTATTTAAGCAATAGTGAAAATCAGACCTGAAAAAAATTCAGGCCTGTACGGGATTCGAACCACTGACCTCTGCGATACTAGTGCAGCGCTCTACCAATTGAGCTAACAAGCCAACTGGGAGCAGGCCATCAAATTAATTCGACATAAACCCGTAGATGATAAATCAAACAACAAACATATGAAATACATATATATGAACTGCGGTTATGAAACGTATATGTGCACGATCCTTCGCAGTAAAGCACTATTTAAGCAATAGTGAANTTGGTAGAGCGCTGCACTAGTATCGCAGAGGTCAGTGGTTTGAATCCCGTACAGGCCTGAATTTTTTTCAGGTCTGATTTTCACTATTGCTTAAATAGTGCTTTACTGCGAAGGATCGTGCACATATATGATATTATAAAGTTGTATTGATTGTTTGCATCCCATGCTAAAAGGTGACAATTAAACATTATCGATGCTCAGTGCACAGTGGCTAGCTAAAAACTAAGTAAGCTTCTGTGTCAAAATATTAAATGTTGTTGACTTTGGAGTTGAATGCTCATGCCCAGAGTTGGCGAAATTTGGTGAGCCTTCATGCAAGTTAGAAAAGCAAGAAAAAACATCAAGCTTCCTTATGAAATTCAACTCCTACTTCTCCGAGAATGCATTTGAAAAAAAGTTATTGCTTTTTGGTGATAACTGTTGTAGGATTATTCATTGAGAAGTGTGAAGTTTAGCAGTTGTTGAAGCGATGTGTCATTGCTTTACTCATCTGTTTTCATTTTAAGAAATTCACAAATTTTGTCATTGTTATCAGGCAAATTAAAGGTTCAGTCAGTTACTTTGCTTGTGAAACACCATTTCAGAGAAAGTTGCAGTTAGTATTAAAAGTGAATAGGGTTGAATCAGTTTTAAGAGCAAATGTGGCCAAAAATCGAACATTTTCAAAATATGGTGGCAACAGCCAAAAAATCGATTTGGCTCATATTCTCAAGTTGGGTAGGCTTTATGGTGAAACAAAACACTGCATACTTCATTTGGCTGAATATCGATTTATTTTGGAGAAATCGATAACAACTGAATTTCACCAAAATGCAGCTTTTGAAGCTCAAAATTTCAGACGAATCTTGGAGCGTCACGCCCCGAACTGAAAACACTTGGACTGATAAAAAGTACCAAATCTTGAAAAACAGCACCAATACATGAGTTGACGTCAATTTGAGCAATTCTTGATCATTTATTTACACAATCGAAGTGAAATTATCCGACCTTCTTCTAACAAGATTAAAAATAGGTCAAAAGTAACCCGTTATTTAACTATGTGGTAAATAAAATAATCGACCTGAAAATCTGGCTTTTGGGAGGCAAAGTGTGGTTCTTTTCAATCTCCAAAGGATTTTTTGAGGTGTGATTTAATCAAATTTTAAAGTGCGATTTAATCAAATTTTAAAGTTGGATAAAATGAGCTGATTTGATGGTGCCGTCAGTTATTCGAAAATGTACACATTAACACGCAAACTCAATTGTTTTGCATTTTACATCCAGTCTATAGCTTACTTAATATAATGTCATCTTGCCGTTCATATTGCAATATCACAAAAGGTGATTGCAGTCCTGAAATTGTTGCATCGCTCCCATAATAGCGATATAACTTGGCAGGATAGTCAACACCTCTTGATAATGAGTGTTTACAAAGCGTATCACGGAGTGATACGCTTTGTGTCATTTATCGTTAATGGGTGTCATTTATCGTTAATCGCTGATACCACACTGAGTATCTAGAAACACTTGGGGCTTTGAGTGAGAAGGAACTGGTTGAGATGACAATTGCCTTGAATAGAGGTCAGGATTTTAAATGATTTAGAAGTATTTTTTAAGACCCTGAAAGATTGTATCGTATTTGTTTTCTCTTCCTTACTATTTTAATCGCTATAGATTGTTTGATTAATTACAGAAATTACCTTGAAACTGGCATAAAATGAATTGCAGAGAAAAGATGTGAACTGTGCAACAGTAGTGCGTGCCATTCTTCTTATAAGGATATCTGCTGCTCGTTCAAAACTACAGTAAGAGTGCACTGTGACTTCGACAAACGATCCAGAAAACGGGAAACAGTTATTATACCTCTTCTTGCTTGTTTAAGGTGGATTGAGAGCCATTCCACTTGTCTTGGTTTTCCGGGCCAAAAGACGAAGTTGACCTAATTCTTAGCCAAGCAACCATATTCTCTCCTCCTGTTAACATACGTGCCATGACAATTTGTCCCTCGCCTAGTGCAAAGCTTGGCTTGGGGTAGACGAGAGGCTCTAAGTTCGAGGCGCAGAGTTCCTTTTGATATATCAAACTATGCTCAATAATATATTGCTATATAAAGCATTGACTGACTTTGGACTTCGATAAGAAGTAGTCAATCACTTCTTAAATTTTTCATCTTGGAAGGAAATATTAAGGAGATAGGCAAAACGTGGGTTTGTTTACTTTCTTTTTTCTAGTTAAAACTAGATGTCAGTCTTTTCCCAATGGGCATGATCATTCTCGTCTGACCAGACAACAGGCTACTGTTAAATTTGTCATTACGCATCAGCTACGCACTATGATATTTCGCCATTTAATGCATTGATGGCTTTGGACCCGACCATATTTGAGGAGGATAGATCACTGCTTAGTTGGCTACCTTCTTGGGAAAGAATACTAAATAACTAACTAGTTGAGTTAGTTTCTCAAAGCCACTGTTTCCAAAGTGCAAGTACCGTATTTGACTGATGTTGGTATACTGACTCGCACTACTCAAGTCTGCTGTATCAGCTAGTGCAATGATTACTCGAAGCGTTTCTTGAGTTCTGAGATGTGCAGAAAAGGTTTCATTTCCAGTCATGAGTTTTTTTTGGACCACTGCCAGGAAAAGATGAGTGTGAATAATGTGAACGTGTGCTACCTGGGTCGTAGTCTTACTACCGGCATGAGTAACTTAACAGGGCACAGTAGCCTCTGGGGAAGAAACAGTAAGCTGTTGAACGTTGCCTAGTACAAACATTTCAGCGAAAGTCATGGTTTTCCAGGTTTGACCCTTATAAAACTTCTTTTAAGTAAACAAATATTTAAACACTACACTTATCTTTGTTGCACATTTGCAGGGATGCATGATGGGCTATGCCCTTTGCAGATCTTTTGCTCATTTTTTGTCCTAAAATAGGCTTCATCCATCCAAGCACCATGAAACATTCAATTATGATGCATTGTATGATGATTGGAGTTAGATAATTGTTTGCTCCTGTTTYGTATATGTAACACTCAACCTTAGTTCCCGTAGCCATGTGCTTCACAGTCCAATGATTTTTCGTTTTATTTCAGTAGACCTAATTTTGAATTAATTAGCATTATTCCGCACAGGCAAAACATGTTTCTGAACTAGTTAAATTCCTCTTACATTTGGTTCATGGTTCTGTTGTAGACTTAGATTTAAACAAAGATCTCTTCGCTCCCACAAAGGGCTAACGCTCGAAACGTCAGCTTTTGTAATAGTTACAGTGGCCAATTTACCACTTCAACTTTGTTGATATATCCAAATTATTTCGTTAGTCCCACCCACGCAGCCCCAAACAGTTTCTTTCGAAACTATCAACCTTTAATCATTATCAGGAGGTGTTGACTGTTCTGCCAAGTTGTTAAATCTCTATTGAGGGAGAAATGCAACAATTTTAGGACTGCAATCCTCTATTGTGATATTTCAATATGGATAGTAAGATGATAGTATGTTAAATAAGCTGTATACTGGATGTAAAATGTGAAACAATTGAGTTTGTGTGTGAATGTGTACATTTTCGAATAACTAGCGGTACCGTCAAATCAGCTTGTTTTATTCAACTCTAAAATTTGATTAAATCGCACAGAATCATTACCCCAAAAAATTCTTTTGGAGATAAAAAAGAACCACACTTCACCTTCCAAAAGCCAGATTTTCAGTCAATTATTTTATTTACCACATAGTTAAATAATGGGTTACTTTTGACCACTTTTTAATCTTGTAAGATGAAGGTCAGATAAATTCAACTAGAATGTGTAAATAAAAAATCAAGAATTGCTCAAATTGCTGTCAGCATATGTACTGATGTTGTTTTTCAAGATTTGGTACTTTTTATCGGTCCAAGTGTTTTCAATTCGTGGTGCGACACTCCCAAGATTCGTCTGAAATTTTGAGCTTCAAAAGCGGCATTTTGGTGAAATTCAGTTCTTGATTTTCTCGAAAATAAATCGATATTCAGCCAATCAAAGTATGCAGTGCTTTGTTTCACTATAAGACCTACCCAACTTGAGAATATGAGCCGAATCGATTTTTGGCTGTTGCCACCAAATGTTTGACCATTGGTAACATTCGCTCTTAAGAGGTCACCCTCCCTAAACTACCGAATGACAGCCTAATAGAAGTCTACTGCCTCATGCAGGTTCCTCTGAAATGGATTTTCATGAAACACAAGTGCAAAGTTGAAACACAAGTGAAAAATTATAACATAGGAGCAAATTACATATAGTGCACATGTGCTGTCAAAATTTCATCTGTTTTGATTTTCCATAACGCTTTTCTTATAAGTTATCAACAAGTGATAACTTGATATCTTGTGTAATTTAGTGTAAATAAGCACTTTTCAAGAATAAGAATTGCACTCATCTTACAGGCTTGTGTACTTATGTTGTCTTTGCATATATTTATTTATGTCAAATTGCACTCAAAATCACTTTATTACCTCTACAAACTTGTGGAGCTGCAGCAGTTGGGGTATTAAAAGAGAATTTAATTGGTTTGATCTGCCAAGTTGATAAATACATGTAAATGAAAAATAGTCACTGTAAAGAGCAAATGTAACTACTATTGGCTAGTTTTTCTGCTTCCTTCAACGTGTCTCTGCAAGGATGAAAATTTGTGTAGTATTTTTGTTAATGAGTAATAAGTTTCTTAATAAGTATCTCCTCTTTCATATGCAGGGATACCTTTTTATCTCAGTCCTTGTTAGTGCAAACAGCAACCTCATCAAGCTGATTATCCAAAGCATCAAGAATGACTTGTCCAGTCGCAATCCCATCCATGTCTGTCTTGCTCTACAATGCATTGCAAACATTGGCAACGATGAGATGGTAGAGGCCGTAGGAAAAGAAGTTCCCAAGCTATTAGTTTCACCTGACACAAACGACAGTGTAAAGCAATGTGCTGCTCTTTGTGTTCTGAAACTCTTCAGGCTTAAAACAGATATCTTGCCTCCTGGAGAGTGGACATCGAGGATTGTTCAACTGTTAAATGATAAGCATTTGGTGAGTGTATGGTTCTTTAGTCATTGAAACTGAAGAAATCTTCTTTCTTGCCTTTCAGGGGACATGACTTTACCCTTTCACTAGCAAGATCTGATTGTTAATTCTCCCCTCTAGTTGCAACACATTTCCTTGTAAATGAGTTATGAGAACTTGGTGTTAGATCAAGATAACTTCTTCCTGAGTATTCTCATTACCTGTTTGCTGGGTAACTTATAGATTGTTTTAGGGAGAATTTACGTGCTAATCACCTGTGCGAGTTAAAGAGTTAAAGAATGCCTTTGCTTGAGGAGGTAACACTGTTTTCTCCATTGGGATAGCTGCTTTTTACCTTTAGAATTAGGTACATATTCACTGGCTAAATGTCATTTTGTGTGTCGCCTTCAATCTGAGATTGAGAGGCTTATATATTGGTTCAGTTAGTCAGTGATGGTCTAACTCAAAGTGGACTTAAACCCACCTTTTAGTACATACAGTCCTTTAAATATGTACTTTTGTATGGTTAATTTCCCTTTGATAAGTACATTAACAAGCAAACATGCAACGGGAAATTGCAAAACCTTTCTGGATGGATTCTCACTTGTTGAAACCACATATCTAAGAATAATTCATCTAGAAATGTGTGATCATCAGTGAAGAGGATGAGGTTTTTTTACTTTTGATCCTTGGAGCAAGAATCTGCAAAAATTTGCTTTTAATGATTTTTTACAATTTTTTTTTGTACATTTCTGCTTCAGCTAGTAATGTGAGCAGTTTAATCCCTTGTTTTTAGAGAAAAGCTCTGTTTTGCTTCATTTTGAAATGTCTGAAAGTTGAACTCTAGAATGATAGTAGTGTGACTGTGTTGTAGTTCAATTTTATACTTGGTTCAAATTTTATTTTCCTTTGTTCTCAGTCATGTTAATGTTTGATAATGAGTTTAAAACGAAGGAAAATAAAACTTGAACCAAGGATAAAATTGAACTACTAACAATAACTGTTTTCCCACCAGGGTGTGGTAACCTCAGCAGCCAGCCTTATCCATGGATTTGTCCATTATTTTGCTGAAGAGTACAAGGGTTGTGTTCAGTTAGCAGTCTCAAGACTTAGTAGGGTAAGGACTCTATAGCATGCTTTACATTCTTGTTGTTCAGACATCTGTAGTGTCCTTGCACTCTGTAATTCTTTAGCATGACAATTAGACCATTAGGATTGTCTGATACTTGGATATCATAAACACTGATTTCTTTTTCGATAGATTGTGACATCGTCTTACACAGACCTTCAAGACTACACCTACTACTTTGTTCCAGCTCCATGGCTTTGTGTCAAGCTCATAAAACTTCTGCAGATGTACCCTCCTCCGGGTAACCAGTTCAGATTATTCTTTGAAGCCCTATTGGTTCAGATGTGCCCCAAAAAAGACTGCTGGCAGCAATTTGCCATATAGAAAAAAACATGATACTAACAGTGTACTGTAAACAAACAGATGAAATTATTGCAAGCTAAAAGTTAAACTTGCTGTGTGAAATCTAGCAGGCCTTTAGTGCAGGTGTTTCATTTGGCTTGCAATTAATCAGCAAGCTGCCATGATATGAGTATTTTTCCCTCCCCTACCTTATTCTACTTTTAAAATCCAAGATGGCAGCCATACCCTTTGCATAGAAATACTGAGTGTTCCCTGGCTTAAAATATACCTGCAGTGCAGGCTACAGGAAAATTCAGAAATAGCTTGCTTGAGAAAATTTTTAGTCCTCTTCGGTTGCAGTAAGAGCTAATTTGAATTTATTTTGAAGGAGTGTCTCCTTACTTATGTGTTTTCTCTTTTCCTTTTTCCTCTTTTTAGATGACCCAGCTGTCTTTGGAAGGCTAAATGAGTGCTTGGAAACCATTCTCAACAAGGCTCAGGTATGTATTAAAGTATTTCTATGCAATGTAGTGTTAATGTTACACTATTTTACATTGCAGGTTGTCATCTACATGTGTTACTTCCATTACAGTAAAATCATTAATTAAAGTATTTCTTTACTTTTTGTAGAATGTCTGTAAACATGGTTGGTTTTATAGCCAAAAAAAAGACATTTGAGAAACACAGGAATTGAACATTGGAATTAAGTTTGAGTCCAAATTTTAAGCTCAATGGTTTTTTCTTATGTAGGAACCACCCAAGTCAAAGAAAGTTCAGCATTCAAATGCAAGGAATGCTGTCCTCTTTGAAGCAATCAACCTGATTATACACATGGACAGGTAAATCAGCAATGTTCCTATTTTGCAAGGAGGGCAATAGAAACCTTTCAGGAGAACTCTGGTGTTTCCCATTCCCTTAGTTGTTAAGTTTTCAGTCAAGTAAATCAACAGATTTATGCAATTAGCCTATACACTGGAGCCATTCAGCAGGCTGGGAAATAATTTTCCAGAACTCATTAATACCACAGAATTGAGGTTTATTGTGGAACAGGAATGAATTATAAAGCTGGGAAATCCAAGCTTGTGAGTGTCAAATTAACAGTTCTGCCAAAACTTGTTTTCTAGTTGTTGGGTGCCACATGTATCTGATTTCTAACCAAGTGACTAAAGTTTTATATTGTTTTGTTTATAGTGAGCAAAGCTTGTTGATCAGAGGTTGTAACCAACTGGGTCAATTTTTGACACACAAAGAGACTAATTTGAGGTATAGCTGGTTTGGTTCGCTTAGGTGATAACTTTATTACAACCATTCAAACAGCCTTAAATCATTATTCAGATTATATTGACAGATGAGCACACTGTATACTTTAGCAATCAAAAGCGGCTGGAAGCTATAAACAGGAAATTCTTAAACCAATTTTGATATGGTGTTTATTTCTGCTGATGGACTGAGTGACAAATAATAAACTTAGTGATATCTGCTAGACATGCATTTGGAGTGAAGAATGATCTGGTTTGATTCTTTGCACAGATGTAGTGTGGGATTCTTGTGCTATTAAATGTTAAAATTGTTGTCACCAATTATTACAGCATTTTGGTATAATATAATTATATTGGGTACAGTACTCATATCTAATCAAGGCAGCAAAAATTACCAATGTGGAGAAAGGACTTGTGGCTACCAATTTACCTTAACTTTGAAGGTTACCAAAAAAGTATTTTGGAAAAAAATAAGCTTTGAGCCTTGAAAGGGTAGGTTCACTAAAATTGTTACTGGGTGTTCTTTTTTTTTTTTTTTTATGAGTAGCTCTTCAAATTTTTCTGCTCAGGTATCTTGCTTTGGAGGGATTGTGCTTGATGTCAAATTCTGAGTTTTCAGTTGATGCTGTGAGAAAACATCAAGAGACTGTTGTTGGAGCACTGAAGGTGAACAGGACAGATTCTTTAGATATTGGATATTTTACAGATGAAGGTCATAGTAAGGGGAAGAGCCCTAAGTTATTGTTGTTGTGTATAATGAATTTCTTTTTTTTTTTTGGTTACTCCAGACTGAACGTGATGTCAGTGTACGCCAAAGAGCTGTTGATCTTCTTTATGCCATGTGCGACAAAAACAATGCTGAAGAGATTGTTGCTGAAATGTTAACTTACCTGGAAACTGCTGATTACTCCATCAAAGAAGAAATGGTAAAAAAGGCCACTGCTGCATTTCTCATTAGAATTAAGATATCTCCCCATGTTTCCACATAAAATAATCTGTGGGTCAAAAGTTTATGATGTGAGATCATTTCTTTATGTGTTTTGAGATTTTTCTCTATGATCAGTCTTTTTTAAGGATCTCAAATTACAAGGTCTTTTTTTAGGCCAGATTAAAAAGATCTTAATTTTGTTTTCTCTTGTTAGGTGTTGAAAGTGGCAATACTTGCTGAGAAGTTTGCTACAGATTATTCCTGGTATATGGACACCATCCTTACACTTATTAGAATTGCTGGAGATTACGTCAGTGAAGAGGTATTGATAAGTGTCTTTATTTTCCACTATATGTAGCCTCTTTGGGAGATTCCCAGTTTCTTAGAGGTGAACACATTCAGCTCTAAATTGATTTTCATGGGTAGTTTTATCGTTTTGTTAGCAGTGATGACTTCTGAATGCTGTATAGTAATGCGAGCTGTTGTTTGATCTACAACTTTTAAGTTTAACAATATTTCTTGTAGGTTTGGTTTCGGGTTATCCAAATTGTGATAAACCGAGATGATATCCAGGGCTACGCTGCAAAGACAGTATTTGAAGCATTGCAGTCTCCGTCATGTCATGAGAACATGGTCAAAGTTGGTGGTTACATCCTTGGAGAGTTTGGCAATCTTATTGCAGGAGACCCCAGGTCAAGGTATGAGTTTCAGCTGTTACAATTGTCTTTTTTTTTCAGATTCCAGGCTGCAAGGTGGCAATGGAAATGGCTACGATACTCAATAATGTCCAGTCTTAAACACTAATTTTTTCAATTTAAACCATGTGATGTAATAAGCATTTAAAATCAATGCAAATACCAATTATCATACCAATTTTTATATTCATTTGTTATTTTTCTTTGTGATTTTTCATTTCTATATTTTCAAATTCTACAGTAGTCACTTTCTGTATACATTTTCTGTTTTTAGATTTTGCCACCCCTTCCTCTATTTGAACTGTTTCTGTGACACTGAAAGTTAGCTTTTTCAAAATTTTGATTTGTTATTACGATCCCCTCACTCACTTTTTATTTTCTTTCTTCTAGTCCAATGGTTCAATTCAAGCTGCTACACAGCAAGTTTCCACTTTGTGCTTCCTCCACAAGGGGCCTGCTTATGTCGACATACATCAAGTTCATTAACCTCTTTCCTGAGATCAAAGGACACATCCAAGAGGTACAGAGAGAGCTCTTGACTTGTTTTGTGTAAAATGTGGCTCCTGTTGCAACACTATGCTGTTTTGGTTCTTGAAATTATTTTTGGGAATTCTTGGAAAAATAAGTGAAATTTAAAGTTTTGTTCAACCTCTTCATATTTCTTCTAATTTTTTATATAGCCACTCGCAGCTACTCACCAGAATTTGTTATTTCATCGGACAAATATGGTTTAGAATTTGGCGGCAGAACAGGGCTGAAAATTTCCTTCTGTGGTAGGAACTTAGAGTAACCCATGTTAATATGTTATTTTTTGTCCTCTTAGATTATGCGCAGTGATACCAATCTCAAGAATTCAGATGCTGAGATCCAGCAAAGAGCTTTGGAATACTTAAAGCTCAGTACTGTTGCATCTCCAGATGTTTTGGTGAGGCTTACATTTTGAGGTTTTGTGAGGATAACAATGGGTTGTTTCTGTTTTACTTTTTAATTTTTTCATTGAAATGACTAGTGATGATGAGACTTTTTCCACTTGAAGAAGTCTTGTACATATATCTTATTAACCAAGCTTGCTCGGGACCGTACTGGAAGAATATCGGCCCTCACGCTTGGTCAATAAGATATATATAATATTCTCCATATTCGAGATGGGCCCATGACAGCTGTTGAATACTAGTCAACCACAGCTGAGCGTAATGGTTCATTGGGTGACTCGTACTCGGTCCATCTCATCACGAGATGAATATTAGTAATATATAGTCGACACCTCGCGATCCACACTAGGAGTAGCAACATCGTGCGACAAACATTTCACTCCAGGACAAGGTTTAGCTGAAAGTTAAATACCTTTATATTACAGATAATATACAGCATTTTACTCTTTATCTTTGAGAAAAAGCTTCCTTTGAAAAGGAATGGATATACAAAGTGAATAGCTAACCGTTTGAACAGTAACCGTTTGATCAAAAACTAACATCGCTTCAATCCTGGGAAGCCGCCTCTCTGAGCTCCTGTCTTCAACTACTGATGGGTAAAGTCTGTACAAGATGTCCATCACTGCAATGGCTTATCTTCATTTTCACAGCATTAAGCGACCAGGAGATTCCTCCTCAATGAGATGTTAGTTCATCGTTATTAGGCCGCTCCGTCTCCCATCTTCATCTTGTAGGTTTGATGGAGTGTGTTCTACACATGCCAGAATCTGTTGCTCTGTACGGGTTGTTCCTATCTAAGGAATTCGACGTAGTGCCCGGAATTTGTAACGAGAGGTTCTGGACCTATCAATGTCATATGCTCTGGGACGAGGCTGTGGTGTGATGCTGTCATCGATAACATAACATCCATAGAGGGATCGGTTTTCTTTTTTCCATTGACCACAGATGACTTCTTCCGGTGAATGTTTCCACTGAGGGTTACATTCGGCTGAGGAGGAAACCGGCACGCCCAAGTTTAATAGATTGGAAATGGGCTCATCGACTGAATTTTGGTCAGAGGAACATGCCATACCAGCTTGGACCTCATAAGGTGAGCAAGACAGCCATTCTTTCCGTTCGTGTTCACTTGATTTGTTTACCTGTAGAGAAAGAGTCAAACAGTCGAGTCACGGTGATGGCCTATATCTTTCCAGCTTCTAGTCACTAGAACCACAACATTAAAAGCTCTCTCTAGCTCAGTTATGGTCGAAATGGCGCCAGTAAGACCGAATTGATTGCTTTAATAGTTTAAGTAGAAACATGTTAAGCATGCATGCACTGATAAATGAATAAATACTAAACTTCACTGATGTTCTCAACCGAAGTCGCCAACTATGAGGGTTTTCAAACAGAAAAATCTCGGACACAACAAGAGCAGTCCAAGAGACTTACTCGGTTAAAACCTAAAACTTCCGATCAAATTCCCCACCAATTAAGGTAAAATTATGTGTGAGTTAAGTCGTAAGACCTTACCGGCAACATCACCTCAGAAGATTTTTCTCGTTTTCCACGCGCGAAAAGAAAGAGTATAGCAACTTCCCCCTGGATGGGATGTTAGTCTACGGCAGGCTAACCCGTCCCCGGCAGGCTAACCCGTCCCCGGCAGGCTAACCCGTCCCCGGCAGGCTAACCCGTCCCTTACAGGCGGTAACCGGTACATTTTACCGCCTGTAGCATCCCTTATTACTACTCTTGGAATTCTTGAAAATGTAAAAGATAAAAAGGATTGCCCTACCAGTTTGAAAATTTTCTCACCTGTCGTGATTTAATGAGGGAGAATACTGACATATCCTACAAAAATAGGAATTAAAATTTTGCATGACTAAAATAGCTCACCAAACTGGGTGAATTTATGGAATTTTCTCCCATCTTTAAAGACTTCAACTCTTCTTCTGTTCGAATGAGTCGTTCTCTCAGTGCACTTATTTCCGCGGTGCTCGATTCGTACCTCTCTTGGCATTGTCGTGCGCTTTTTTCCACGTTCTCGTAAAGGGCCTTGAACGCTCCAACCCAACTCTTCAGTTGACGTAGCTCCGAAATGGCTTGGTCTCTCTCCATGTTCAGTTCACGATTCCGACTAGTGAGGTCTTTGATTGTTTTGAAACTTCTTTGCTGCAGGGCTATCGTTTCAGATAATTTCATGGACTGCCATTGTTCCTCGTCAAAACTCTGTGAAAGTTTTTTCATCTTGTTGAGTAGTTCTGCATTCTTCTTCCTTTCTTCCTCAACTTGAATTTTCAACTTTTTGGCTTCTTCCTCGGCGGACAATAGCTTTATCAGCAAAACAAGGACACACGCATGCCTTTCTTTCGCATACTTTTTACACCCTTTTTCTTCATTTTGCCTCGGATCGTAGCATGCTTCAGGCGCTTTTTCCCCTCCTCTCACTGCCTTTACTTGCAGATACTGTAAACATTTCTTACTTGACTTAACATCCAATACAGTTTTCAGTTCCTCGAGAAGGGTATTGGGCTGTTGGTTCCCCTTCAAATGAATGCCAAGGATGTCTACTGCACACTCGGAGGTAAGATCTGTAAGTCAAGATGAATAAAGATAATGAAAAAGACTATCAAATAAAAGAATCAATAGCCGTTGAGCTTTGGTGGGATTTTTCGTTTTCACTGCGCTACGTCGGGCCCGAGCCATGCAGAAACATGGAAAACCTCTCTTCCGGTAACGCTATGATTTGTTAAGATTTTCCAAAGTCATTAATATGAAAACTATTTCAAGAGGATTCCATATTATCAAATAACCCGTTTCGTAAACTTTGCCCCGTTTACTAGGGATAGAGTTCTAACGAACTAGACTCAATTGAATTTTTTATGGCGACCATTTTACAATAGACCCTTCCACGGTTTTATCGGCCATATTGGTTGGGGGTCAAACAAAACCTCGTTGCGTAGCAACGAGCCATAGAATCTCTTATGATAAGAAGAGGAGCATCGCTACCCTCGTTTAAATTTTCGCTTTGTTCAGGAACAAAAATTAATATTCATCGCTGAAAAAGAAAAGACATCAAGACATCATTGAAAAATTGAGCTTGGAGCGATTCGAAAGGTGTTACAAAATTCTCTTGAAAGTATTTGCTGATGGAAGCGTCTAGATGACAAGGTCATCAATATCGAAAAATTGACATTCCACTCGGGAGGCTTTGAAGAATGAGGTATAATACAATAGACGCTATTCTTATTCAATGACATGTAAATGATGTGGCCAGGTATTCTGAAGTTTAGAATCAACAATCCCACGCTAGGGTGGGATTGTTGGTTTCGGCTGAGTAACCATAGTCATTCATGTTATCACGAGCTATGCAGTCGTGACCACGTCACGTTACTTCGCCCTATAAAAAATCATCAGTTTAAACGATCGGAGGTTCAATAACCAAAAAGCAAATACCTAGTTAATCATCGGAAGTGGTGACTGTCTACCCAAAATATAAGCAAACGTCGAAGCTTTGTTTTGATAACATTTATAGGAGCCTGAAATTATGCTCCAAACTACCTTGATACATAATCAATGAAAGTTGTCCTTACCTGGTGTAGGTCTCTGTCTTGTTATCTTTTCGTACAATCCTGGGTTTAAGTGTTTCAAAATATCAAGGAAATGCTGCAGACCTTTCGTTCCTTTAGTCTCTAGAATATCCAAAAGCTTGCTGGCTTTTCGTTCATTTGTTATCTCTGCGTTTACAATCTGACAATCCTCGGCGTCGAAAACGGCCTTGCTGCGCAGGTGATCAAAAAGAACAGATCGGTCGACACGAAGTTCTTGAACAATTTTCACCCGGTGGCTCCTTAAGTTCTCCCACATATCCTCTGCTGGGTAATCCATGGCTCTACAGCAAGTCTGCTATGTAGTCAGCGTACATGAATATTTCTACTAAGAATGCAATGTCACGTGACGGGACTTTCCTCGCTGTTGATGTCGGCTTCGCGCCTGCGCGAGTCGCTGTGTAGAAATATGTTCTAAGAAAGAATTTTCTGGTAAACTAAATAATTAATTTTTTTTTTTCGCGGAAAGTGAACTATTATGTTTTTAAACATCATGTGATTTGTTAGGAAGGATTGGAATGTCAAACAGGAAGAGCAACGCGGAAAACTTATTTCTCACCAGACGATAGACTATGTCGCGTGACGTGATAGGCTCCACAGAAAGCAGGAGAGTGTTGTCTCTCTCTATCGCTTTGTCCATCTCAGCAATAACAAAAGAGCACTTTTGGTTTTGGGACTTTGTTTAATGTTAACTGCTAGCGGAACAAGCACATCGATAGAGTAGCTCTTCGGGCGGAAACGTCTAGAAAAACCATTAAAGGGGAACGGTTTTAGCATTGCGTGTTAGTTTCGAGCTACTCACAGAAAAAACAGGCACCACGAGATTTCCTTGTAAGGAAAAGCCGAGAACTAGATGAAAGTCAAGGCGATTGGGAACAATGAAGTAAACTTCTGAACAATAAAGTAAACTTCTGAACATAGTTGATGACGCAAATTGTAAAAGTTAAGCAGTTCTAATGTTCTGAAACCTTATACTTTAAGCTTTCAGTGCTCTACATGGAATTAGGCGGAATACACGGACTATGGGTCTACTGTCACGGAATCAACTTCCCCTAGATTTTCTTTGAATAACACGATGAATTTAAAACATAACCAGGAAAGGAATGACTCAAGTTCGATACTTAACATTATCAGATTAAACTAATCTGTTGCTGCCACATAAATTGAAACAGTACTTATCTAGTTGTAGAGTCATCGATGTCCCTATGGTTTTTAACGCTTTTACACCGATTAACAATTCTAAACAAGTGGAAGTATGTGAATCACATGAAGTTGCTTCAAGTAACTATAAATCTTCAATGAAGTAATTTAATCGAAGGAAGCTTCGAAGAAACATTCAGTTTCTCCCAAATGGTTTTACCATTCATCCTAACAATTAACTTTTTTCTTAAAAACGACTCAAGTGTGGTGTCTCTATAGGGAACGAATCTGAATACTAGAACACAAAACAGGCTTCAAAGTGGAAATGAGGTACAATTTCAGTTTTAAATGAACAATTTCTTAGTTTTCTGGACAATTTCTCAGACAAACGAATTATCATAAAGAGAGTGAATAATCAAGAGTTTTTGCTGAGTGGGAAGGAAAATTCCTGACAAAAATGTCTCAAATAGTTCGTGTGAGAACAGAAGAGAGCGATCAAATTTTAACGAGGGTGCATCTAAACAGCTGAGCTCGTTCTCATTAGATGGTTTTAAGGATTGTCACGCAAGGTCATTCAGAGGTCAATGATTAGAGTGTTCTCGCAAAGCTCATAGCTAGATACAGAAACAAAGACTTGTTAATCGACTAAAATTTATTTCAATAAATTGAAATTGTAGAAGCTTTTTTAAAAAAAGGATACATCTTTAAAATCAACAAGAACGCTGTCGAGTAGTCTAAACCAAAGAGAGACCTCAACTGCGTCAATGATGAAATAAACATGAGGTGTATTCACAAGAAGCTACATAACGAGCACTTAGTAATCTATATCCACTCCTGACGTCTATTGTGTTAGTTGGAGTCCGTGCGTTCTGAGAAATGACGGGTTTTTTTTTCTCTAACTGATGATATGAAGTTTTGACACAACAATGATCGTCTTTACGCAAGTACCCAGTATTTAAAATTTTCTCTTTTCTTCATTTGAATACCTTTTAATGAAATAATTATAACACTCGGCTACAAATTCTCTGAGTATTCCCGAGTATGTTTATTGTACCAATAAATTCACAACTATTTCATAAGAGCAATAGACCGCAATGTAAACCGGTTTACCGGCGTTAAGACCCGGTTGAGATGTTGCTTGAACATAAGCCGTGTTGGAAAACTCTAGAAATCAGGAGTCAACTGCTGAAGAAATAACAACGATTCCAATCTTCCGTTAATTTCGCTGTAAGGTGATTCCTTTCGTAATGGTTCCAAAAACGAGTCTTTATATCAGTTATGGCGATTATTTCAATAACTTGGACAGTTATTTGATACAATCATGATAAAATTCACCTGGTTAGTAATAAATAAAATCATGTAAGTTTTTGTTTCAGTTAAAAAGCATCTTGCTACAACTCAATCAAAGCCACAGATCTGTTTGACCTGTGGTCCATTTTCAGTAAGTGTTGAAACTAATCACTACTGCTGACAATATTGACAGGAAGTGTTCAAGTAACTAAGGTTACGTCATATTCACCGTAACCAGAGGCTTCCGTCGACGTCAACAAATTTGCTATGTCCAATTAAGGTAAGATGCTAATTACCACCAAAAGGTTATCGATTGTCAGTAGGGGATAATTGTTATGTTAATTCTAACATCGCTGGCTGAATTGCGAAATATTCAATAAAGATGTTGTTTTGATAAACTATCAGTTACCTGATGTTGTTTCGTTTTATTAACTTGTCTAACTGTTGCCGTTAGTAATCGATGTTGGATCACAACTTTAATAAGCGTATCAAGAACTGTAACTTCCAACCGGCCTGTTGTAGCTTTCTGTTTAGCTTACTTTCGCTATCGTTTATGTAAACTTGTACAAGCGGGATTCCCACGTAGGCAATCGTTCTCATTGAAATGAATTTGTTTAATTGGTTTACATTACCTAATCCTTCTGAGCGTTGTGGTTTAGGTTCACGCCCGATATTACATCACAATTATGCTCAAGATTACGTGCTAGTACATTTAAAAAACCATCTACGTTGGAAAAGTTTTGGTCTCCTTGCTCTCCGGTGTGTCGTTATATCCTTTGGTTGTAACAGATCCCAAAACCTTTTAGTCTCCCTCGCAGCCGTTTTTTTTTTGGATGTCACGCAACGCTCCCCCAAAAGAACGGCTGCAGACAACCGAACTACATTCCTTTCTCCGAATTGGCCAATCACAGCTCGGTTTCCATTTTCAGGAACCTTTTCGCGCCAGACTCACATTTTGAGACTCGTCCAATCAAATATCGTTTTCTATCGCGATCCTCATGTGGAAAACACAAGACAAATGGCGGTGCTTGAAGGAGCTTTTCGCAAAGCGTCGTCAAAGTTCAAAATTTTCGAGCTTAATGCTTACCAGAAGCTTCTAATTAGAAAAGTTTTAGTCGAGAAAGAAGATGTTTTTGTTAAGCTGCCTACAGGATCCGGGAAATCGTTAATATATCAAGCACTCCCGCTCGTGTTTGAC